GGGTGTGGAGAAAAGGGAACCCTCTTACACTGTTGGTGGGAATGCAAATTAGTACAGCCACTATGGAAAACAGTGTGGAGATTTCTTAAAAAGCTGGAAATAGAACTGCCATATGACCCAGCAATCCCACTTCTGGGCATACACACCAAGGAAACCAGATCTGAAAGAGCCACGTGCACCCCAATGTTCATCGCAGCACTGTTTATAATAGCCAGGACATGGAAGCAACCCAGATGCCCATCAGCAGACGAATGGATGAGGAAGCTGTGGTACATATACACCATGGAATATTACTCAGCCATTAAAAAGAATTCATTTGAATCAGTTCTAATGAGATGGATGAAACTGGAGCCCATTATACAGAGCGAAGTAAGCCAGAAAGATAAAGACCATTACAGTATACTAACACATATATATGGAATTTAGAAAGATGGTAACGATAACCCTATATGCAAAACAGAAAAAGAGACTCAGATGTATAGAACAGACTTGTGGACTCTGGGAGAAGGCGAGGGTGGGATGTTTCAAGAGAACAGCATTGAAACATGTATATTATCTAGGGTGAAACAGATCACCAGCCCAGGTTGGGTGCATGAGACAAGTGCTCGGGCCTGGTGTACTGGGAAGACTCAGAGGAATCAGGTGGAGAGGGAGGTGGGAAGGGGGATCAGGATGGGGAATACATGTAACTCCATGGCTGATTCATGTCAATGTATGGCAAAACTCACTTTAATATTGTAAAGTAATTAGCCTCCAACTAATAAAAATAAATGAAAAAAATATATATAATCAATCTGATTTTGGTATTGACCATCTAGTGATCTCCATGCATAAAGTCTTCCCTTGTGTTTATGGAAGAAGATGTTTGCTGTGACCAGTGTGTTTTCTTGGCAATATTCTGTTATCCTTTACCCTGCTCCATTTTGTATCCCTAGACCAAATTTGCCTGTTACTCCAGGTATCTCTTGACTTCCTACTCTTGCATTCCAATCGCCTATGATGAAAAGAATCTTTTTTTGGTGTTAGTTCTAGAAAGTATATAAACACCACTTATATACCAGTTAAAACTCATAGTCATCCCTCTCTTTACTCACATTCATATCCCACAATTCAACCAACTGCAGATGGTGCAGTACTGTATTTACTATTGAGAAATACCTACATGAAAGTGTTCACGGTCATCTCTCTATACAGACATATCTCAGAAGGTATTTATTATGGGAATGGGCTTGCACAGCAATTACAGATGCAGAGGAGTCCCATAGTCTCTTTTCTGTAAGCTAGAGAACCAGCAAATCTGCTTTTATAATTCAGACTGATGTTTAAAGCTTAAAACCAGGAGAGTTAAGGAAATAACCTCATGTCTGAAGCCAAATGCCTGAGAACCAGAGGACCACTGGTGTTAAGTCCTTGAGTCTCAAGTCTCAAGAGCTAGAAGATGCTACATTCATGGGAAAGAAGAGAAAAGGGGAGAGAAAATGCTTTCTTGTTCCATTCAGGCCCCCCAAGCAATTGGATGATGCCCACCCACATTGGGTGAAGGCAGCTGATGAATTCAAATGCTAATCTCTTCCAGAAACACCATTTCAGAAACATCTAGAATCAATGCCACATAAAATTAATGAGCACTGAGTCCATAAACATGAAACATCTAAATGAAGACCTCTTCCTGGGGATTTAAGAGCTGGTATTATTGGCTCTGGGGATGGAGTGGACATTGGGCTGGGGAGGTTCTTAGGGCAAGAGGCACAGCTTCTCCATAAAATACAGGTACCATTGTACATACAGCATGTGGTGTTTCTGTAGACTCAATAAGACGATGCATGCTGAAGCCTTAAAACTGGGTCTGGAATACCGGAAGAATACAATAGATGAGTCCTTACCTTCTTTTCCCTTTCTAGCAGATATCCTCAGGATTCATTTCTCAAGATTATCCTCTATTCCTGCAACAGAAAGGAAAGACAGAGAACACCAAGCTACTCTGTCTATAGAATTTACAGGCAAGAATACCTGAGTGGGTTACCTTTTCCTACTCCAGGGGATCTCCTGACCCAGGGATAAAACCCATGTGTCTTGTGTGTCCTGCGTTGGCAGGCAGATTCTTTACCTCTGTGTCACCTGGGAAGCCCCTGTGCTATACAGTATGACCTTTTTTAAGCATTCTATATATGAACATTTGCACCTGCCAATTGAAAACTCCCCATCCTTCCCTCCTTACTCTCCTCCCCTTAGCAGCCACAGGTTTGTTCTCTATGCCTTTGACTCTGTTTCTTTTTCATAGATAGGTATATTTGTGTTGTACTTTTGACTCCACACATATGCAATATCGGGCTTCCCAGGTGGCGCTAGTGGTAAAGATCCTGCCTGCTAATGCAGGAGAGGTAAGACAGACATGGGTTCCATCCCAAAGTCAGGAAGATCCCCTGGAGGATGGCATCACAATTCACTCCATTATTCTTGCCTGCAGAATCCCATGGACAGAGGAGCCTGGCAGGCTACAGTCCATAGAGTCACATAGAGTGGACAGGACTGAAGTGACTTATCGCAATATGTTATATCATATGGTGCTTGTTATTCTCCTTCTGACTCACTTTATCAGTATGATCATCTCTAGGTCCATCCATACTTCTACAAATAGCATTATTTCATTCTTTTAATGGCTGGAAAACATACACATACACACACACCACATCTTCTTTTTTCATTCTTTTGTCAATGAGCAGTTAGGTTGTTTTCACATGTTGGCTATTGTTAATAATGCTGCTATGAACATAGGGGTGTGTGTATCTTTTTTCTTAAATAATTTTATTTATTTAGTTATTTTTCACTACACTGGGTCTTCTTTCTTGTGTGCAGGCTTTCTCTAGTTGCTTCGAGCTGAGGCTCTTCTCTTACTGCGATATGTGGGCTTCTCATTGCAGTGGCTTCTCTTGTTACAGAGTTTGGGCCCTAGAGCCCACAGGCTCCAGTAGCTTCAGTGAGTAGGCTCACTAGTTGTGGCACATGGCCTTAGTTGCTATGCGGCCTGTGGGATCATCCCAGAACAGCAATTGAACCCATATCCCCCGCATCGCAAGGAAGACTCTCAACCACTGGACCTCCATGGAAGCTCAATGTATCATTTTGAATTCTAGTTTTGCTTGTAATGCAGAAGACCTGGGTTCAACCCCCAGGTTGGGAAGATCCCCTGGCGAAGGGAAAGGCTACCCACTCCAGTATTCTGGCCTGGAGAATTCCATGGACTCTATAGTCCGTTGGGTCGCAAAGAGTCAGACATGACTGAGTGACTTTCATTTTCACTTTTTGTCTGGTTGTATGTTCAAGAGTAGGACTGCTGAATCATATGGTCACTCTATTTTTAGTAACTTGAGGAAACACCATACTGTTTTCCCTAGTGACTATACCAATTAACATGCTCACCAATAGTGTGAGAGGGAAAACAGCTTCTTATAGTAGTTGTGATCCCTTTGAACGATCCCCGGCTTAGACTGAAATTTCTGAATTTCTCTAAAATAATGTGAAGCCTTTAAGTCAGTTCTTCTCAATATTTAGGTTGTCTGGAAACTTGGGGGTCCTTCAGATCCTCTCAGCTAAATATTCTTTACATAGAAATTGGCAGATACATCTATCTGAAAATAACCTTGGTTCACCAGTCAAAGAATGGAGAAAATTTGAGTGAATTTTAGGTGTTCCCTGAAGGTTATCTGAAGTAATGAATGAAAGGTGCCCACACTGCTGTTTATCCAGCTTGCATTTAATAACAGAGCTATTTATGATTTTCATTGTTACTAATCTCACTCTGTTGCAGGTATTTATAAAAGAGATGGATGGCCTGGGACTTAATGTATCTATTGAGTAGAATCCAATTCAAACATTTTTTTTTTAATGTAAAGTCCATTTATAATCCTGGGAGAAGTATGGTGAAAAGGATCTTTGTCAAAGTGAACAAGGAGGTGACCACTCTTCAAAGAGTCCTCATCTTGGTGGCCAGAGGTGTATGGGGAAAGTTTGGGCATCAAATAAATGGGATGGGAGAGAGGCATGGGAAACTCTGAAAGATGGTGAAAGGGTCTCCCTTTATTTCCAAACTTAAACTTCAAAAGATTCTCCCTGTGGTGCAGCCTGGGGTGGGGGTCACTCCTGATTGTGGCAGAACCTGAAACACCAATACAAGCTTCTGCATTTATTATGGGAAAGGCATTGTTTTTTGTTTGTTTGTTTTTACTTTTGCATCTTTTAGTTTTTACTTTTATTATGATGATCATTTAATTGTAGTTTTGAGTGTGTGTGTGTGCTGAGTCTTAACTAAGACCCAATGGGCTTAGTTAACCAGTGGCATATGAGATATTAGTTCCCAAACAGGGATCAGACCCCTATCTCTTGCATTGGAAGGAAGATTCATAACCACTGGACAACCAGGGAAGTCCCTAGAAAGGTGCCGGTTTTAATGAAGAGATAAACACATTTTATTTCTGTGCCTTTGATGTTACCCTGATCATCATCTATATTGAACTTGGTTAAGTTTGAAGAATTAGCAATTATCTTTATATACTTAGAAAGGTCAATCCTAAAGGAAATCAAGCCTGAATATTCACTGGAAGGACTGATGCTGAAGCTGAAGCTCCAATACCTTGGCCACCTGATGTGAAGAGCTGGCCCATTGGAAAAGACTCTGATGCTGGCAAAGATTGAGGGCAGGAGGAGAAGAGGGCGACAGAGGATGAGATGATTGAATGGCATCACAGTTTCAATGGACATGAGTTTGAGCAGACTCTGGGAGATAGTGAAGGACAGGGAAGCCTAATGTGCTGCAGTTCATGGGGTGACAAAGAGTAGAACATGACATAGCAACTGAACAATAACAACAAATCAGAAAGGAGCCAGTAAGATTATTGTTGGCTTCCAAGACCCCTAGAAAATGACTGGGGCTATTTTCCATCTGGAAGGTGTCCTCAGTAAGAAAAAATTTTAGGAAAACCTCTCCTGATAGCACATGTTCCTGGGTGACAGGGTTATTTGCCAGTGACCCACACTTACTTTTCTCTGATGCTTTGTTCTCAAAGAGCTCATAGTGCCCACCTTCAGTGACTGTCAGTGTTGGAAATGTCTAATCCCAGGACTCACACTCCTCCCTTTTCTCACAACTTAGATTTAATCTTTTCACGTGGCTTTCTGGGCTGATCCCAAATTTCTGGGAGTAAACACCCTCAAAGATGACACTGTCTTCGGTGAGCCACCATCTTTTACTTTCTAAATAGCACCGAGAATAACATCTTTAAATCTCCCTCTTCCCTAAAAGAAAAAAATATATATTTATTTTACATTGTTGTAATCATTCACATGGTCCATCTAGGAATGCCCAGATCCAAACTGTCCTGACACACTCTTATATCTCACTGAAATTTTGACCTGTCCACCTTCAGAGAAGGTTTGGCTTGAGCCTAGAAAATCACATCCCCCAAAGCTCTTCCTTTGCTACCTGAATAGGCTCAAAATCCCCTGTGTTTCCTACATAACACCTGAGTGAAAAGCTGATACAGGGGTGCATGTATTTTGTTTACTTTGGGAACAACAGGATTGTTTTTATGAAGCTTTGTTAATTGAGAGACATTTTGATAGTTTTGATATGGGCAAAGTTCCCCCAACAATGATGCTTTCAGTTATGTTTTTTCTTGTTCAATGACTGAAACCAATAATTCCTTGTCCAACCAAACCCAGGAATATAACTGAGCATATTGGTCAATATCAACCAAGGTTTATGGAGTGAATCCATGAATGAGTCTTTGATTCCTTCTCCATCATTCTCTATGTTTCCTGTATGTATATCTGTTTCAATCACCTAAGGTGGTGAAAAATGAAAATCCACTCAGGATCAATACCAAGGGCCATCTATAATCTAGTCAGGTACCACTTTCTGATTGTGTTAATCAGACAGAGGTATGATGAGATCAGAAATGTCTATAAAAGTCTCAGCCTCTGAAGAAAGGATGCAGAAACTTCTTGCCCCAGAGTCACTGGCTGGATCTTCCATAGAGTCTGTGGTCTGAGTCCCACACCAACCACAATACACTAGTAAGTTATTGTCAGTACTATTCCTATGTGGTGTTAACTGACCTTACATGTAGCCTGTAACTCCAGATGGCATGGAGAGTTTTTTTTTTTTAATTATTTCCTTTCAGATGAGATTTCAGGTTTCCATTTACCTCTCAATGTTGTTTTCCCTGAGTCCCAAATATTTTGATTTGCACTGTAGTTGAAATAATTTTTAAATGTCTTTACTAGGAAGATATTTGTAATAAAATGTCTATAGTATTATCTCTCAAAATTTAAAATACTTCTTTTATGTACGCATGACATTCATGTCATGAGTATTTCTTTCATCTTTACCATCCAGCTTAACTAAGATGCGGGCTACTGCTTCACATGACAGTCCTCTTTCCATAGACTTAAGGTTCTAAATGACCGTCTAAAAGCCTTTCCCAAATAAAGTTTGAGGTCAGCTTTCAGGACCTTGGTACCTTTACGAGTTGGACATGAATTAAGCCAAGCAGCAGCTAGTGGTTGAAATGCTTGTTCTGAATCCAGTAGGGGATTCACTGAGCCCACAGTGTCATATGGGCCAAGTAAGGTGCTTTCTCCCTTGCCAGTGCACAGACCTTGGCCTTGAGTAGGTTCTTCTGAGGGGTGGGGAGACAGTCTAAGGTCTGAAGCAAATGCCTGTTTACTGACAGTTTACACAGTACTCCTTTTGGCAGAGAGTCAGCATGAGTGTACGGACCCCACGCAGACTCCTGGACCTGGCGGGAATGCACCTGCTGAGGGAAGATGACTTGGCCTCTTCTGCTCTGGGACAGCTGCCTGTGGAGCTCTTCCCACCCCTCTTCAAGGAGGCCTTCAGTGGGAGACATACTAAAATTCTGAAGGCCATGGTGCAAGCCTGGCCCTTTGTCCGCCTGCCTCTGGGGGGCCTCATTGATCTGCCTCATGTGGGGCCCCTACAAGCAGTGCTGGAAGCCCTTGATGTCCTGCTTGTTCAGAAGGTTTGCTCCAGGTGAGTCTGATTCAGGTAACCTGGTAAAATCCTGGGTGTCTCAGAGGAAATACCTGGGGAGAGAAAAACTGGGTGAAAAGGGGTGGACCAGAGGGATCTGAAGAAGGTAATGTAGAGGCCTTGCCTCACCAAGGGAAACACGTTTGGGAAGTGTAGGTATACCTACAAAAAAAAAAGAGAGAGAGAGCCTAAAGAACATGCCACACCTCCTTACAGTGATGCTAAAAGTTATTAGATGTGGAGAGCCAGAAAGGAAGGGAGGGGAAAGGGAGATGGAGGAAAGTGAGTCAGAGAGGGAAGAAGGCATGGCAGCAAGTGATGTCAGGAATCTGAAGTTACAGCACAGTAGGGCAGTCTGTTTTCAAATTTTCAAGCTGATGTTTCATTCTGGGTGGATTTCAGTGCATCCCCACCAATCTCCTTTTTCTCAATAGGAGATGCAAACTGCGGGTGCTAGATTTGCGGGACACTGGTCATAACTTCTGGAGCATGTGGTCTGGAGCCAGTACTCACAGGTGCACAGGCTCAGGAAGAGCACCAGTGCCTAAGCCCAGGTCAGTGACAAAGCAGCATGTGGCTCCACTGAAGGTTTTTATAGATCTTTCCTTGAAAAAAAGGACCTTGGACAACTTCCTCACCTACCTCCTTAGGTGGGTGGAGCAAAGAAAATCTTCCATCCACCTGTGTTGTAAGAAGCTGAAGATCGTTTCCATGCCAATGGACAATATTGTGAAGGTCCTGAGCATGGTGCAGCTGGATTGTATCCAGGAGGTGCAAGTGAGTTGCACATGGAATCTGTCCACCCTGGCCACATTTGCTCCTTTCCTGGGCCACATGAGTAATTTGCAGAGGCTCCGTCTCTTCCCTATCCAAGTATCTGCCTTCAAGAAGCAGGAGCACGATCACGTTGTGCAAATTACCTCCCAGTTCCTGAGGCTGGGCCACCTCCGGGATCTCCATCTGGAGTCTCCCTCCTTCCTTGAAGGCCACCTGGACCAGATGCTCAGGTGAGTGTGGACCACTGGCTGGGTAACATTGAACATAGCATTAGGATATCAAATGCACTCTCTCCTGAAGTGTAATATCCTGTAACCACACAAATCAATTTGGGGCTAAATTGGTGTAATGGTTCTTGAAAGGGACACTCCACTGTGGAGATACAATTTATTGCCTGGAATGGTTGATCTAGCACTGAAGAGATTATGGTTTCTACCTTCAGCAGAGGTGTGTATGTTCAAATCACTTAAAATATAAAAAGTAAAGAGGGCACTGAAGTGGGGAAACCACAGCAGACTAGACCAATTCTGAAGAGAAGCTCTATGCTCACTAGATTACTAATCAAAATGAGTCTGTCTTAAATACCCTATCTGTAAAAGATTTTTTTATCTTTTGCTCCAGATAAGTTAATTAGTATAAGGGAAAATATGATTCTGGAAATGATGTTAATTGAGCTGAGAGAAAAGGATAGTAGAAAGTGGTAGAAAAATTAGCAGAGATGTAAGCCCCTCTAGACAGGCATCACATTTGATGTTGTAGGATCTCGTATAAGTTGCTTCTTTATGCATATCTCCCTAAAGCCTCAGCGGCCAGAGGTATTGGCCTCTGAAGCCCAACTTTGGACTGAAGGAAGCCTTAGCCAAAATCATTTTCTATATGATCACCTAGTACTAAAAATCTGTGTCCAGTTGTCCTCTGAGCACATTCTAGGGCATTCCATTATATTCATTCATCCTCATAAGGAAGTAGAGTATATTGTAGTCTGCTTGATAAATGAGGAAGAGACCGTTCAATGTTCTATGAATTGACTCAGAGACAAGTCAAGTGGACAAAACTGGCCTAGAGTGATACTGGGCAATCAATGTATTGACCCTCATCAGAGGGTCAGACTTAACATTAGCCCTGTAAAAACCATTTGTCTATCACATGTATACATTAGTTTTAGAACTAATTTCTTGGTTTCTCCCCAGGTGCCTGACGACCACCTTGGACAACCTCTCAATAACTAACTGCCAGCTTACGGAATCAGACTTGACCCACCTGTCCCAGTGTCCAAATATCTGTCAACTAAAAAGCCTGGAACTGAATGGTGTCACCCTAACGGACTTTAATCCTGAGCTGCTTCAAGTTCTGCTGGAGAAAGTTGCAGCCACCCTCCAGGAACTGTACTTAGACCAGTGTGGGATCAAGAACTCCCAGTTTGAGGCCATCCTGCCGGCTCTGAGCCGCTGCTCCCAGCTCAGGTCCTTCAGCCTGTGTGGGAACCTCCTCTCCATGGCCGTCATGGAGAAGATGCTACGACAAACTGCTGGGTTTTCCTGTTTGAGTCAGGAGTGGTATCCTGCCCCTCAGGAGAGTTACAGCCCTCAGGGTGTTCTCCTGGATGGCAGGCTTCCCCAGCTTCAGGCTGAGCTGTTGGAGATTCTGAGAGACTTAGGCCAGCCCAGGACTGTCTGGCTTACATTCAGCCCCTGTCCTCACTGTGGTGATGACATATGTACTCACATGGAGCCCATTATATACAGCTGTTCTAACTCTGCCTAGGTGGTTGCCTCTATCAGAAGTTTTCTTCTTGGCACTTGGAAACTGAAATCTAGGACATGGGCACATCATGAAGTGAAAACAGAGCTATGGTTTCAAACATCAGCTCAGTGTGAATGGGAAAAGGAAGGGTGATCCAGTGAGGGTGCATGATTGCAGTGGGAAATGTAGAGTCTGGGAGGTGATGGGACTTTCAGAATGATGGGTTTAAAGCATCAGGAAAATGAATCTCATTTTCTGGAGAGAAATTTTGGATGCACATGGTGCCATTGTCCCTGAGGGGATGATTGTAAAATAATGGTCAGAAATAAAGAAACTTTCAGTGTACATGGACTCATGCCCTTCATGATATATTATTCTCTTCTCTGTTTCCACCTCAGAAGTCACCAGTGACTGATGGAAGGCAGCACACCAAATTGTCTATGATCTGAAACCCTACTATTCCCACTAGTTCTCTATTCCATCGTGAGCATCTTTTATCTCTTTACTTACTTCTGTGGCTATTCAGTGGATTGATACACACAATTAAGTGGGAACTACTCAGAGGCCAGTGAGCCACTGGAGTGAAGAGCTCTTGGCAAGATCATCACTGCTGGCTCAGGCCATGGCCCTGGACACGAGCAGTTCTCATGTTCTCCTGGTGGGTTCATAGGTCTCAGTTCCTGGTCTTTCTGTGCTAGGAAGGGGCCTCACTATGCAAGTAAAGGCCCTCGGTTCTGGAAAGCATCATCCACACTGCAGATGAGCCAGAATCCCTTGTCCTCATCAACCCATGCCTTTCATGAGTGTGAGTGGTCCTTCTTGAATTAAACTAGTGTGACCAGTAAAGACATACAATATCCTTTGATCAAATACTAAAATCACACAGGCATATATCATGGTTTTAGTATTTCTAAACCACATTAAGAAATTATATCCTGGACTTCCCTGGTGGTCCAGTGGTATGAATCTGCTTGCCAATGCAGGGGAAAAGGAATTGAATCCTGGTTCACATGCGCTGGAGCAACTAAGTCCATGGACCACAACTACTGAGCCTGTGCTCCGGAGCCTGTGAGACTCAACGACCGAGCTCACATACCTCAACTACTGAAACCTGTGAGCTCTAGGGCTCTCAGGCCCCAACTACTGAGAGGGCATGCTGTAAATACTGAGTCTCACACACCCAGAACATGTGCTGCTCAACAAGACAAGCCACAGGTCCATGCACCCAAATGAACAGTAGCCCCCACTCACCACAACTAGAGAAAACTGGGGCACAGCAACAAAAACCCAACTCAACCAAAAGTAAAAATTAATTAATTAATTAAAGAAAAATAAATTGTATCCTTTTGTGGGGTAGGTCATGTCATTGAGAGATGGACACTATTCCTATAACACCTATTATCTCTCCCAAATAGGGAAGACTAACACAGCATGTTTTATCATCAACTTATCAACCTATATGAAAGAAACACTTCCTATATACATCTTATCACTCACAGTCAACTCTCCCTACCCTCTGTTCCACATCCTCAGATTCAAGAGACTGCAGATGATGTAGTGTTACATTTACTATAGTAAAATATCCACAAGTAAGTGGATCTGAGCAGTTCAAAGGCATGATGGTCAAGATTCTTCTGTATATTAGGGGAATGGGTTCACATCATTAACAGATGGAGTCCCATAGTCTGCTCTCTGTAAGCGAGAGAACAAGCAAAGCCAGGTTTATTACTCAGGCCAAGGGTTAGGGCTGAAAACTGGGGGAGCTGATGATGTAACTCAAGGCTAAAGGCCTGAGACCCAGGGGACCACTCATAAGCCCTAGCATCTCATGTCTCAAGAGCCAGAAGCTGCTATGTTCATGGGCAAAAAGAGAAAGAGGGAGAGAAGATGCTGTCTTGTTCCATTCAGGCTCCCAGGAATTGGATGAAGTCCACACACATTAGTGAAGGCAGATGTCTTCACTCAGTTGATGGATTCAAATGCTCATCTCTTTCAGAAACACCATCTCAGAAAACAGCTAGAATCAATGTCACATAAAATTAACCAACACAGAGACTGTAAAAAAATGGGTACTCAAATGAAGGCTTGTTGCTGAGGATTCTGGGGCTGTTTTTGTTTTTGTTTTTGGCTCTGTTGATGGAGTGGACCTTGGGCTGGGGAGATCTTAGGCAAGAGGCACCACTTGTCCATTAAGTGGAGGTAATAATGAAAACACAGCAAATGGAGTTCCTATAGAACCGATGAGATGATGCATGTTGAGACCTTGGCATTGGACCTGGCATACAGGAGGAGCTCAGTAAATGAGTCATTTCCTTCTTTCCCTCTACTAGCCCCAGGATTCTTCATTCCTCATGATTACCCTCTGTTCCTTCAACAAGAAGGAAAGAAAGGACTCAGCATTTACATGAGGACACCAATAAATCAGAATTCGCCCAAGCTGCTTTAGCAGCCAACACAGGGACAAGCAGTGGGAAGGTCATAGGAAAGATTCCACTCCTCTCTAATGATGGACATACTGAGCCTCAAGACTCTTAGGCCACTGCTAGGAGATCAAACCAGATGACTCCCCTGGTGACTCAATCGTAAACAATCCGCCTGCCATTGCAGCAGACACAGTTTCAGTCCTAGCATCAGGACAATCCCTTGGAGTAGGGAATGGCAACCCACTCCACTGTTCTTGCCTGGGAAATCCCATGGACAGAGGAGGCTGGCAGGCTACAGTCCATGGGGTCACCAAGAGTCAGACACCGCTTGCCAACTAAACAACAAGTGTAATGAGCTGGTCTGTAGTGTCAACCATCTGTAACATTGACTGTAACGTAAGTGGTCATCAAATTAAATTCACCTATTCCTGTCCATTTTAGTTCACTTATTCCTAAAGTGTCAATGTTCACTCTTGCCACCTCCTTCCACTACCACATCCAATTTGCCTCGATTCATGGGCCTAACATTCCAGGTTGATCTTTACAGCATTGAACTTAATTTCACCACCAGATATATCGACAACTGAGTGACTTCTCTGCTTTAGCCTACCCTCTTCATTCTTTATGAAACTGTTTCTCTGCTCTTCCCCAGTAACATATTGGACATTTACCAGCCTAGAAAATTCAGATTTCCAGAGAATACCAAGGCAAGATAAGAAAGACTTCTTAAGTGAACAATGCAAAGGAATAGAGGAAAACAATAGAATGGGAAAGACTAGACATCTCTTCAAGAAAAGTAGAGATACCAAGGAATATTTCGTGCAAAGATGTGCAAAATAAAAGACAGAAATGGCAAGAACCTAACAGAAACAGAAGAGATTAAGAGAGATGGCAAGAATACACAGAAGAACTATACAAAAGAGAAGTCTTAATTATTGGATAACCACAATGGTGTGGTCATTTGCGTAGAGTCAGACATCCTGGAGTGTGAAGTCAAGTGGGCCTCAGGAATCATTACTATGAACAAAGGTAGTGGAGGTGAAGGAACTCCAGCTTAGCTATTTCAAATCGTAAAAAGATGATGCAGTTAAAGTGCTGCCTCAATATGCAACGAAAGGGTTAATAGCTAGGCAGGTCTCCCTAGGGAGGCCAGAGGTCCCCAAGCCTCAGGAGGAGACAAAGGGTAAGCATCCGATACTTTTTTCTACATTCCTTTGCTCCAGCTTTAGCCACATAGGAGGCTCCTTTAATTCCGTGTTGCTATGACCTTAATTGGGTCTGCCTGAAAGTAAATTTTTTCCAACCTTGAGTTGTGAACTGCCCAAACAAGTAATGCATCCTACTCACAGGAAACGTTTTTCTTAAGCTATGTTAATAAAACTATGTATCTTGTTTGGAAGCCTGTTTTCCTTCAAGATTTACACAATATCTCTGGCCCATAGAAACCTCCTCCGGAGAGGACTCGCTTGTGCAGATGTGTATGTTGTGGGAGAGAGCTGCACCTGGTGCAACTCTCTCGGCCTTGAGTTGTTTCTTTTATCTAGAATCAACAGCTTTCTAAGGAGTGTAAGATGCCTTGGTGAAAACTGGCAAGGGGGTACTTCCCCACCCCCTTCCGATGTCTATGTCAGAAGTTTTCTCTATCTTTCTTATACTTTAATAAAACTTTGTTACACAAAAGCTCCGAGTGGTCAAGCCTTGTCTCTGGCCCCAGATCGAAATCCTCTCCTCTTGAGGCCAAGAATCCCCACATCGTTCACAGCTCACTGCCCCAACCGTCTTGGGGGCTCGTCCAGGATCCCAAGACAAGGTGTAAGCTTTCATCTGTCACCAGCAAATTTGGATAACTCAGCAGGGGCTATAGGACTGGAAAAGGTCAGTTTACATTCCAATCCCAAAGAAAGACAATGCCAAAAATTGTTCAAATTACCATACAATTGCACGTATTTCACTTGCTAGGAATATTATGCTCAAAATTCTTCAAGCTAGGCTTCAACAGTACATGAACCAAGAACTTGCAGATGTAAAAATCTGGATTTAGAAAAGGCAGAGGAAAAGGCAGAGGAATAAGAGATCAAATTGCCAACATTCATTGGATCATAAAAAGAGCAAGGGAATTCCAGAAAAAATTGCTTCATTGACTATGCTAAGGCCTTTGACTGTGTGGATCAAAACAAACTGTGGAGAATTCTTAAAGAGATGGGAATACCAAACCCCCTTACCTGCCTCCTGAGAAACATGTATGCAGGTCAAGAAGCAACAATTAGAATTGGACATAGAACAATGGACTGGCTCAAAATTGAGAAAGGTGTATGTCAAGGCTGTATACTGTCACCCGCTTATTTAACTTTTATGCAGAGTACATCATGCGAAATGCCGGGCTGGATAAGTTACAAGCAGGAATCAAGATTGCAGGAGAAATATCAACAACCTCAGACATGCAGATGATACTACTTTAATGCAGAAAGTGAAGAGGAACTGAGGCTCTTGATGAGGGTAAAGGAAGAGAGTGAAAAGCTTGTTTAAAACTCAGCATTCAAAAAACTAAGATCATAGCATCTGATCCCAACACTTCATGGCAAATAGATGGGGAAAAAGTGGAAACAGTGATAGACTTTATTTGCTTGTGCTTCAAAATCACTGTGGTTGGTGATTGTAGCCATGGAATTAAAAGATGCTTGCTCCTTGGAAGAAAAGCAATGACAAATCTAATTAACATATTGAAAAGCAGAGACATCAGTTTGCTGACATAGGTCCATATAGTCATAACTATGGTTTTT